TCAGGGTGGCCCCGGGCGACAGCAGGGTTGAGATGCCAGCAATTCCTGGAAACAGTGCAGAGTGAGGAACTGGGAGATCTGCTGCCTCCCGCAGACGGGGCGTCTGCGGTCAAGGTGGCGGCTGGGCGGGCCCCTCCGAGCTGGGAGTAAGGACCTGGCCCTGGCCTCTCCGTGGCATGTGGATGGCCATGTTCCCTGCGCCCATCTTTCTGTCCCAGTTCCCCCTCTTTCTAAGGATGTGAGTCAAGTCAGATTAGGAGCCCCCCCTGCCCCATTACAAATGTCTCTTATTTCAATCTGCAATTACCCTGTTTCCAAATACAGTCACATTCTGGGATGCTGGGGGGAAGGACTTCAACACATGAAGGTTTAGGGGGTACAATTCGACCCCTGACAGAGGGTGAGGTGAGCGGATTTGGGGCCTGAGTTTGAGTGCCTGCCCCCTTCCCACCCCACCTACTTGGGACGGGGCTCCATGTCCACCCACAAGGGCGAGCGCCATACCATCCACCACGCCAGCCCGAGGGCCACCCGTGTTTACGCCGCGGTGGCTGGGGGCTCTGTTTCACTCTGCCAACCCAGGGGCCTGGGGGGCGTGTCAGGATGTCCCTCATCCTGTGCTGTGGGTTGTCATCTAGACCACATCACATCCACCTGCCTGGTGGGGGTCCAAGAGGCTTAGCAGGTGCTGTCAATCACTGGTAAAAGGCCACAGGAACAGGCCGATGGTGACCCCAACCAGCAGAGGTGCAGGAGACAGCGACGCAAGTCCTGCTGCCCTGGGATGCGGCCAGCTCAGGCATCCTGTTCACCCGCAGGGCAGCGACCAGGGCCTCCAGTGTCCCTGAGTTACCCGTTGAAAATACACCCCCTAGCCTTAAAGGCCAGCCCAGCCATGCCGGCAGCCAGCCAGCAGGCTATCACCAAACAGGCTGGCAGTTTGGGGCGTTTTCTGGCGAGGGCTTCCAGCACAGGCGGACAGCCACTCCGCCCTCTAAGGGCCGGCCAGGGCGAGCAGATGGGACACATGCCGTGTGCAGATTAGCCTGAGAAAAAACGCTTCAGGAGGGAAAACTTACCTGAAAACATCCGTTTCCCAGGGCCGCCATAACGGTGGCCACAAACTGGTGGCTTCTCTCCCTGTTCTGGAGGCCTGAAGTTCAAGATCAAGGTGTCGGCAGGGTCAGTTGCCCAGAGGCTCTGCAGGAGACTACTTCTTGCCTCTACTCTAGCTTCCGGTGGCCGTGTGACCCCAGTTCTGCCCCATCAGCTCATGTCCTCATCCCCCCCCGTGTCTGTGTGCCAGAGTTCTCCATCTCTTTTTTTATTTTATTTTTTTTATTTTGAGAAAGAGGAGAAAGGAGGGTGAGAGGAAGAGAAACATCGATTGGTTGCCTCTCACATGCCCCCAACCAGGGACCTGGCCCGCAACCCAGGCGTGTGCCCGGACTGGGAATAGAACCAGCGACCTTTGGGTTCACAGGACAATGCCCAGCCCACTGAGCCACACCAGCCAGGGCTCCATCTGTTTTCTTTCATGAGCTTTCCATTCGGTGGATTCAGGGCTCACCCTAAATGCAAGATAATATCATCCTAGGACCCTTCATGACGTCTGCAGGGATCCTGTTGTCAAATAAGGTGGCCTTCACAGGCACTGTGGTCTGGGGACATGCTGAGCCTTTTGAGGTCCCCCATTCACCCCACTGCAGCCACCAAGCAATGCTGCCCGTTCGACCACAGCGACACACACACCGTCCTTCCCCTTGGGGGCGGGGCGCAGGGAGGCTGGTTATGGAATGATGAGGAGCGTGAAACCCGCGCCTGACTCCACACAGCACAGCCCTGTGCAGGGCCCCCCGCCCGCCGCAGACGCCCACTTCGGGGCCCAGCACCTGCCTGGCTGGCTGACCAGACACCTACACGCTGGGCAGCACTCAAGGCCCGAGTCACAGCCATCCCTGGCCAAGGCCACATGGGCTGGTGGGGCCACATGTGGGACACAGACAGAAAATCTGCTGTGCTGGCCCCGGAGCTCCATCCAGAAGCTTCCTCTGAGTGAACACGCCCACTGCCTCTCCCTCCACGCTCTGAACTTTGCTTATCCAAGCACCTAGGGAGGATGTCTCCATCTGTGGGTGGGGGCGGTGCGGGGTGGGGGGGTGGGGAGCCCAGCAGCGAGACTCAGCAGCAGGAAATCCTGATGTGCGTTTCTCTTCCTGGGCTTCCGGCCTCAAAATTGGAAAGTTTTGGGGGCCCAGGAGTGTTAGGATGCAGTCAGTGATAGTGGTCTGGGCCTTGCCCTTAGGACAACCCTCGGCCAAGGCCTCCCTGATAAAACAAGGGCAAGTCACACTTGCCCCTGCCGGGAAGGGTCTTGCCTGTGCCAGCTCTTGGCAAATAAGGAGAGGCCCAGGGTGGCCTCCAAGGCTGGGGCCCCCACCCTCACCCCAGGCCAGGAGCAATGGCCTGCTGGCAGAAGACACAAGGCCAGCAGCCCCCAGGAGCCCCAAAGCCACAAGCTTTGGTGTGTCCTTGCGCAGTCAGCCACGAAATGGGCTCCCCATAGTAACTCAGGGACGCCAGAGTGGCCGTTCTGGACAGGCAACATCAGGGTGGGGACTCTTGGCTGGCCAGGTGCACCTGGAGTGCCCCGCTCCAGCCCAGCGGGTGTCCCCAGACCATGGAGGGTCCAGTAGCAGGAAGGTACATCTCTGCAGGCCCCCTGGCTCCACGGGGGAAGGTCCCTGCCTCTGTCTGTCCTCTGGCGTCCACTGCAGACAGGCGGGGACAAGGAGAAGCGCCTGTGAGGGCGGGCTGGACCTCTGCTGGGGCGCCCACCCCACACGAGCCCTGGTGGGCGGGCTGCTCCACGAGCCAGAGGGCCTAGACAGGGGGCTCAGACTCGGATTTAAACTGAATTCAAACAATCAGGATTTATTGATGTTATAAATTCAAAACCTAAATTCTTTAACCTGTTAAGTTTAATTTTACAAACCATTATTCCCTTTAAAAGCCTAACAGATTTTAAAATCATTTTTAAGGGGCCTCTGCATCATATTTGGTCCCATCCACAAAGTCAGTAAATTAAGCGTTTTCAACATCTCAAAAGGAATTTATAAATTAGGTATCTTTTACTTCCTTGTCAAGTACTTTAGCTTGTCTGAATTGACCGTAAAGTCTCAGTGCTCGAAGAGCTCACATGCTCAACAGGTTGACTTTTTAAGTGTGGCGGAACCCCTGTTGTCGTAAGTGTTCCCATGCGTTCTGGTTTCACTTAACATGGGACTGCTAGCACTGTGGTCCGGGTCTCCTCAGCCTCCTACGCCTCATTCATTCTAAATCTTCCTGTGGCTGAAAGATGTGCACGCACTTCAAGGGTCCAGCTTTCCCCCTGGGGCCCTCGGCACCAGCCGTGGCAGCTGGGAGGCTGACACTTTGTGAGGACCCCAGAATTATGCCCAGTGGGGCCTCTGCAGGGGGCCAGTGTCTGGCCCCTTGCCCCGCCTTCCCACCTGCTCTTGGGGTCTTGCCCAGAGTGAACCCCTGAGTGGATTTTACAATTCTTCCACTCCCAAGACCCCTGCAGTCCATGGTACCCTGAGGTGACTGGTGCCTTTCTCACTGAGAGATCGGTGATCTTGCTGGGGTCTCCCTGGCACCCACAGGGCTGCGCAGTTTGGCAGAGCACCCAACACAGCCTCCTGGGACCCGTTCCAGAACTCTGCCCGCCTTGAGGTCACTACCCCAAAGGCTGGGCCTCAGAGCTGAGCTGGGTGCCAGAAGCACAGAGCTGCCCGGTGACACCTGGCAGTTGGTGCACGACATGCACCAGCACACACACCAGCCCCACCCACGCTCTGGGAAGACCGGCAGGAAAGTCGGGGAAGAGAAAGAAGAAGACACGGTTAGGAAGAAAGAGAACAAAGTTCGGTTCGAGGAGAAGCCTGTCAAGCAGCGGAAAAGAGGAAACAGCTGAGCAGTAGCCCGGGCAATAGTGGGGCAGGGCCAGGGTGCGGACCGGCTCTGTGGTTTTCAGCAGGAAACTGCTGGAACCGGTGAGGGATGGGTGGGGGATCTGCCCACTTACACCAAGTGAATGAAACCGCTGGCCACGTGTGCCATCCCAGAAACTCCACTGCTCTTGCTCGGGGCTGAGAGGGGTCCTGTTCCCACTTGCAAGAAGGTGTCATTGTTACTGGAGGCGAACACAGGTACAGCGCCGGGTCTTGGGCACGTGGGGTTTTCATGCCCTGCTCCAGGTACCACGTGGGCACCACTAGCCCATGGTTGGTGACCCAAGCCGAGGGCTGAGTTGCCCTCTCACCCAGGGAGATGTGGGGGATGGCGCAGGAGGGCTAGGCTAGGGGGGGCGGCCACTCGGGGGGTAGGAAGAAAGCCTGGAGAGGCGATTTCCGTGTCCAAGACAGAAGAACTTGGAAGCCGGTGAGGTCGGTCCCGCGCGGTCCCCTCGGCCACGCGCCCAAACTAGGCTGAGGATCTGGAGCCTTAGGCGCTCCCTGGTGGCCACATGTGGTTGCAGCCCTGAGGTCCCACAAGGCGCCCAGGCTTCCAAGGAGGGCGTGCGCTGGAGAGGCCAGGAACCACCCCTCCCGCACATGCCCTGGTGCCCACGAGGAGACCGCGACACCCCGGGAACCCCGCCTCCACCCAGCAAGGCTGTCCTGCTCCCGGGAGAGCCTGAGTCCCGCGGAACGCGCGGCACAGCGGCACTCAACACACCACAGAGGACGCGTGGTCCGCGCGCCGCCTAGCTGCCCCGCCCTCCAGCCCCCGGGGCCCCCTGCCGCCTCCGAGTCCAGCCCCCGAGGGGCCTTTGATTCTCCTGGGTCCAGCCCCTTGGCTCCACTCCCGGCCCGTAGCCTGACCCCGCCCCCATTCTGGCTCCTCCCCTAGGCCCCGCCCCTCGCCCCTACTCCAGGCCCCGCCTTATGTCAGGCTCCTCCCCTCGGCCCCGCCCCTGCGTGCTGTGCGCGTGGCGGCGACGCGGAACTGGTGTAGCTCGGGCAAGACAGGCGCGGGCGCCCTGGGGCGGGACTTCCGGCGGCGCTGGCGAGCGTCTTCCGACAGTGCGCTGGAGTGGTCCTGCCGGCCACCGGGACATGAAGGTGAGCCCCGCGGCGGCCGGCCGGGGTGGTGTCGGCGCCTGCGTCTCGGCGTTGCGCCCCCTCCGCGCATGGCTTCAACCCTTTTCCGTGCAGTGGGCGCGCGGCGGCAGGAAGCCGAGCGGTGTGACCGCGGGCATGGACGGGAGGGCTGTCTGTGCAGGAGGACGTGGGCGGCGTGCGGGCGCGGACGCGAGCCGCAGCTCCTCGAGCGTGGACCCGTGCGAACGAGCGTGTGCGAATAAGACCCTGAGTGGGAGCAGCACGGCCTAGAGTGACAGTTGTCTGTCAGCGGCTGGTGAGACCGGGAGGGTGGCGGCCGCCCTGTCCCCGGGGGCTAGGGTCCCCGTGCAGCTTGGGGTGCACTGGGCGGGACCACACCTCGCTCAGCCCTCACTCAGCCTTGAAAGGGTAGATCTTGCACACCGGAGGATGACTCGCCGCCCCCCGTTTCCCAGGTCACCAGAGCTGAGCCCAGAGGGGTCGGGGGACAGTGGTTGGTGGCATAGCCGGACCTCTGCTGGACTCCTCTTTCCATCGCCCTGTGGTTAGCGCAGTGGCCACGCGTCCTCCGCCCGCCTGCTCAGCCTGCGGGCATGACAACAGGACCTGCCCGGGTGTGGAGAGCCGTCCGCTGCAGCCCGCGGTCATAAACGTCCCGGCCGGCTGCCGCCCTGCCTCCGCGCGCCTTCACCCCTCCCTGCGGGCACCCAGGTGGCTCCAGAATTTGCGCTCAAAGACGAGAGCTGGGATGAACTGGGATGAACGACATCACACTTGCCGTTCTGCTAAGGGCAGAGTCGTCTCAGGGTCCAGGCTGGTGGCAGTGACAGACGCTCGGGGCACATCACTGAGTGGCGAGACCAACCGGACTGGGGAAAGCGAGTGTCTGAAAGTGCCGTAGAAGAGAAACGGTCAGAGTGCATCACAGAGCAGGGGCTCTGCGCAGCGCCTTCCTGGTACACGCACACACATGCACTCTGTGTGTGGACGCGTGAACCAGGCTGTGGTCGGCACTCCTACTGTGGGTTTCGATAAAAACACTTGAACATCACCGCGGGAACTCGCTGTCCTTTGGTCACACGGCTGAACCGATCGTCCCAGGAGCTTGGAGCCTCAGATGGTGGGCTCCTGGCCGCCACGGGTCTGAGGCCCCGCCTCCAGCAGCCCTGTGGTTTGGGTGTGTTACAACTCTGGGTGACCGCAAGCCCACGTGGTCACCACACACCACACTCTCTTCTGGGGCCATTCCACACAGAGGAGGTCACGGGGCGGGGAGACACGTTCTGACCTAAGAACAGGATGCGTGAGCCCAGCAGTCAGCTCCGGCAGGACCATGATGCCTTGGGCAGAGAAGCGGGTGGGGGCGGGCGGCTCCCCACAGTGCACACCAGGCAGCCCACACGCTGGGTCCCCACCACCCAGTGCCAGCTAGGCCGTCGGTCTGGGAAGTCTCCTGCTGGTCAGGGAGCAGCCCAGCAATCCCAAGTGCTGCCCCCTGCCGCCTGCTCACCGCAGAGCTGTCCCCCCTCATCTGGGCGCAGGGGAGGATGGTCAGCGCAGGGGCCTCAAGCTCAGTCTGGTCCTCCTCCCGTAGCTCCTCCTTCAGGCACAGAAGCCAGGAGCGCCTGTGTTCCTCCAGATTGACCCCATCTCCACCCTTTCTTCTTCTTCCCTTCCCGATGGCATGAGGTCACAGATCAAGGGTCAGGCAGAGGGGTCTCTGTTCACCTGTGTGAGGACAGCAGGTGGGGCGGCAGGTGTGGCCCTCGGGGGGAAGGGCAGGGCACCGTCGAGCCCCCAGGTCACTGCTGTGTGGGCACCTTCAGCTTCATTTCTCCTTCTTTCCCATCCCCCATGACCCAAGCCTGCACCGCAGAGCTGAGGAGAGGCCTGCAGTCATGGAGGGCAGCTGGCAGAGGAGGCCCCCTCCCACCGCTTCTCGTGGCTCCTGCCAGCAGGTCCCTCTCGTGGGCACAGCGCTCCGTTTGGCCGCGTGTGGGAGTGCGTCGTTTGGGTCTCTCCCGAGCTGGCCCCTCACAGCTCGGCGGCTGCAGTTTCAGCCTGACCAGGGAAGCAAGGGATGATTCGGGGAGGCCACCCCCTGCCGTGGCCAGAGTCCCCCAGCCTCAGGGCCCTTCCCAGACCTGGGGCTGGGCCCAGGAAGGCCAGCCTCGCTGCTGGCCGACTCGCCCTTCACACCTGCACGTCCAGGTCTCCTCCAGGAGGACAGCCAGGCTGCGGAGCTTGTTGCTTGGGTGCCCCGAGGGAGAGACGAGGAGGTGGAATAGGGGGAGGGGTCTAAAAACATCCGCACCAGCAGTCGAAGCCCAGGGTGGGCAGGCAGAAGATGCGTGGGAGCCCACAGAGAGCCCGGCACGACCCCCGGGTCTGACAGCTCACTCGGGGTCGCTCGGGGTCATTCGGCATCCCCCCTTCTGTGCTGTTTTCTCTGGGCGAACTGGGGCGGGGGGTTACATAAAGCCAGGGCGTTTCCTGACGTTGGCACCAGCCACTCACAGCTCGTGCGTCCTGCCGCCTCCAGTGCCCGTCCCTGTCCCCGTGGGAGGAGGCGCGGGCCCTCCTCGGCCACAGACATCTTCCTGCGTGTTTGCTGCGTGGGTGCGGACGGTCCAAAAAGTGGGATTCGTGCAAGAGGAGATGGGCTGGGGAGGAGAATACTTGTGGGTGGGTTGTCCCCCAGAGGGTTTCTCTGACTTGAACTCCGAGAAGCAGCTTAGGGAAGGTGCTGCCCGGGGGGCAGGGGACTCCAGGCTTGCATCCGTCTCTCGGGTCCTGTCTCTGACGTGGGTGGAGATGCCATCTCACCTCCGCGTCCACTCCTCCGGTTTGTGGGGCGGCCGAGGTGCCGCCTCTGGGGCTCGGGCTGTCCGTGTGTCACCCCTCTTCGCATCCCTAGCTCAGTTTGCAGTGGGGCACCTTTCACTGGAGTCTCTTTTCTTGATTCACGAGGGTTCTCGGCGCGCCGGGCACAGGCAGTGCGTGGCCACGCACTGCCGAGTCTGCTCTGCGTGCTCTTTCTGGGATGTATTCTTTGCAGTAGCTCTGTTTTCTGAACGAAAGCATTGCGTGGCAGAGTAAGCTCTGTCGGTGCTTCCCTCGGGCGCCTCGGGCGCCTCGGCCCCAGCAGCGGGTCCTCACTTGGGTCCTCTCCTGTCTCCCTCACCCCCCCCCTCACTGCAGGGGAGCCCTCGGGCCGGGCCATCCTTGGGTCTGTTGGGGAAGGGAGAGCCCGGGTCCTTCTGGCGGGCTGGCAGTGGTCAGCGCGGCCCTGGGGTCGCAGGGGAGGCCAGGAAGCCCCTTCCTGCTCTTGGGAGAGAAACCAGGGGCCGCCCTGCTGGGAGCCGGACTGGGCTGCTGGGGCTGGTCCAGAGCAGGGCTGTGTTCTGGGCTGGTGCCGCCAGCCCCCAGGTTCCACTCAGACAAGGACCCCAGTGGCCAGAGGGGGCGCCCCACGCTGCTGGTGGCCTCCACAGCTCTGCCCTCCCTGCAGGCCCCGGACCCTGAGGTTGGAGCCCGCCCGTGACCACCCGCCTGCGGCCCGCCCGCCCGCCATGAAGGTGCTCCTGCGCGTGCTCTGGCTCGCTCTGGCCTGCGGCCCCGCTCACGCCACCCTGTCGAAGTCGGACGCCAAGAAGTCCGCCTCCAAGACACTGCTGGAGAAGGTCAGGGTCGTCCGGGGCTGGCCGAAGGGCTGACCTGTTGCTGTCGCACCTTCCTCCTGCCCACTGGGGCCCCCTGCTCATGCGGCCTCTGAGCTGGCAGGCTGGGGCCCCGGCCCCGGCTTCTCGGGTGACCTGCTTTCCGTGGCTTCTTTCGACACCGGCTCTCATCCCACCTCGAGGAGTTCTGTGCCGGCCACAGGGCACGTGGGCCAGAGGTGCCCCGGGAGGCAGAGCGTGTCTTCGGGGGTGGCCAGCTCCTCGGGGAGGGCCCCGCCCTGCCGTTTCCTGGCCAGCGGTGCCATGAGGGCCCTGCACAGCCCCCAGCTGAACAGAGAGGACCCCTGCGCCGGCTCTGCCTCCGGCCGCGGACACCGGCAGCCTGCTCCCTGTGCCTGTCGTTGCAGACCCAGTTCTCAGAGACGCCCGTGCAGGACCGGGGCCTGGTGGTCACAGACCCCCGAGCCGAGGACGTGGTGCTCGAGCATCGCAGCTACTGCGCAGCGAAGGCCCGGGAGCGGCACTTTGCCGGGGACGTCCTGGGCTACGTCACCCCAGTGAGCGGGGCCTGGGGGTGGGGGGGAGCGGGCTGGTCCCAAGGGCACGGTGGCGCCTGGGGTCTGCAGCCTCACCTCCCCAGGCGACCGCCACGGTGGGGAGGTCCTCTGGGGCTCGCCCGCCTGGTGCAGCCGGGCCCGCGGTGCCCCCGTCCAGGGGCAGTGCCTGAGCCCGCGGCCCCGGCTGCACGTGGGCTCACCTGGCCTCTGCCCTCTGCCAGTGGAACAGCCACGGCTACGACGTGGCCAAGGTCTTCGGGGGCAAGTTCACGCAGATCTCGCCCGTGTGGCTGCAGCTGAAGCGGCGTGGCCGCGAGATGTTCGAGGTCACGGGCCTTCACGACGTGGACCAAGGTTCGCACCTCGCCGCCTGTCGGCGCGTCCCCAGGCCTGGTGGGGTGGTGTGAGAGTGTGAGCGTGTCGGAGGACGGGTGGGAGTGTCTGAGTGTGTGTGTGTGAGCGTGGCCACGGCCCGCGCCGGCCTGCACCCCCGTCAGCTGCCCTCGGCAGCTCACCCGCGCCGTCCCGGAGGGGGCTCTGGGGAAGGGCTGCACTGCGCAGTGTCTCTGAGAGCAACGGGCACAGGGAGGAGGCCGCCAGTGTCCGCAGCCAGACGCAGAGCCAGCACAGGGGTCCTCTCCGTTCGGCCCGGGGCTGTGCGGGGGCCCTCGCGGCGCCGCCGGCCGGGAGACGGCAGGGCGGGGCCCTCCCCAAGGAGGTGGCTGCCCCGAAGACTCGCTCTGCCTCCCTGGGCATGCGTCTGGCCCACTCACCGCCGTGGCCGTCACAGAACCAGGCGAGGCAGGTCCAGGGAGGAGTGGAGCGAAAACCCGGCCGTCCCGACAGCGTCTCCTCTGGGCCTGTGCCCAGGTTTACGTGGCTGTCCCCCTGTGGGGTCCTGAGAGGACACAGGTGTCAGCCGGCTGTAAAGTTTCGAGTCCCAGAGCAGCTCCCCGACATCAGGAGGCCAGGGTCGGAGCCGCCCCGGCCCAGGCCGCTCTGCGGGGCCCTCTGGCCCCGGACCCTCTCCACCGGCCTGCCCTTCGCTCTCCTGCCGAGCGTGTCCCCCCGAGATGAGTGAGGACCTGCGTTCCCGATCCGAGTGTCCTCTTCCCGCCCACAGGGTGGATGCGTGCCGTCAGGAAGCAGGCCAAGGGGCTGCGCATAGGTGAGTCCAGGGCGTCGGGCGGTCGGGGCGGCCAGGCCTTGGGCCGCACGAGGGTCGGAGGCCCTGGCTGCTGTGGCCTCCCCGTGCGAGGGTGAGGGGCCCCGGGGTGCTCTCCGTGCCCACGGGTAGCTCCGAGACGGTGCAGAGGGGCAGCCAGCCCCCAGCCTGGCACTCGTGGCCCTTGGTCCAGCCAGGGCCCTCCGGCCCTCCCGCCCACCCAGGCCAGTGCCCCCTTCCCCAGTTTCTTCAGCCACCTGGCGAGCCTTTATTGAGGGCCTGAGGGCCGATTCTGAGAGGGACGCCAGCCCTGCCCACCCTGCAGCTCCCAGCGGCGAGGGAGGGCAGTGTCCCAAAGTGCAGAGGGGTCAGCAGGGGCTGGGGGGGGCCGCCAGGGAGGGTCCTAGAACAGACCTCCTAGAGCGGGTCTGGGAGGAAGGTGGTCCAGCGGACGCCGGGCAGCCGGGACCAGCGTGTGAGGGCAGACGGGTCAGCGCCTCTGTCCTTCCCCAACCGGCTGGGGCCCTCCCTCTCCGGGCTGTGGGTTGCTGGGGTGACCGCACCAGGTGCCCGGCTGTGTGGTCACTCTGCTCTGGGGGCTGACGGCGCCTCGTGGGTGGAGCGGAGCCCAGGAGGGTCACAGTGCCTGCGCGGGCCTGTCCCCCAGTCCCTCGGCTGCTGTTTGAGGACTGGACTCACGAGGACTTCCGGAGCGTCTGGGACAGCGAGGACGAGATAGAGGAGCTCAGCAAGACCGTGGTCCAGGTCGCCAAGGTGAGGCCTGGCACTCCACAGGCAACACCCGCAGGGGTCCCCAGGGCTGGGGCCCTGCCGAGGGTGACGCCCAGCTGTCCAGTGTGGGGCTGCAGGTGGGGGCACCCCTGGGGCCCCAGGAGTTGGGGAGTCCTGGCCACTCATTCTGCCTCTGGCTCCCGAGGGGACCCCCGCCACCCTACTCAGAGAGGCACTTCGTGCCTGCGGCATGACCTTCCTGGAAGGGCGAGGGAGTCCGCCGTCCAGCCCTCCCTCTGACCGGCCGCCTGCCTGGCCCTTTCAGAGCCAGCACTTCGACGGCTTTGTGGTGGAGGCCTGGAGCCAGCTGCTGAGCCAGGAGCGCGTGTGAGTGGGCTCGGGCGGGCCGGGGGCGGGCCGGCACACCGGCAGGAGGCACTGCCGGGCCCCAGAGCCTCCTGGGGACCTGGGGAGGGGCTGGCCTGGCCGCCCAGCCCTCGAGTTCTGTGTCCACCCTTCCCTGTGCGCTCTCAGCTGCACCCCGCCCCGCCCCCCAGGGCCAGAGTGCCTGGCGAGAGTCGCCTGCCGAAGGGAGCACCCCCAGTTGGCAGGGATGTGGGGAGGGACGCAGCTCCACGGAGCGGTGGTGCCACCTACAGGCCACCACTGAGGGCGGCAGTGGGGTCTGGAGTGGAATGGGCCGGCCCTCCCTTGAGGCCTGGAGGAATCCCCGTGGGGCCCCAGGCCTGAGCCCCGCCCCTCCTGCCCGCCTCCCCGGGGCGCTGGGCTGGGCTCCAGGCCTCTCCCTTGGGGCAGCTGGGCAGGAAATGGGGAATGAGACCCCCCCCACTGAGGCCCAGAGGGAGGTGTGCCAAGGGCCCTCCGCCCCCCATGGTGGGTGAAGGGGCCCCTGCTTCCCTGTGCCCGGACCCCCAGGCCTGCAGGCGATTCTGCCCTGAGGCCCGGCCCCACTGAGACGGTGCATGCGGGGTCCTGGGGCCCCAGGAGGGACTCCCGACAGCGTGGGGGCCGCCGAGTGTCCGGTGCCCGCGGGGCAGGAAGTGCGGTGAAGGGGCGCCAGCCTGACGGGGTCCCGGCCGGCCACCCGGCCTGACCTCCCGGCCTGACCTCCTCCGTGTCTCCACAGGGGTCTCGTGCACATGCTCACCCACATGGCCGAGGCGCTGCACCAGGCCCGGCTGGTGGTCATCCTGGTCATCCCGCCGGCCGTCACCCCTGGGTAAGGGCTGCGCTCGCTCGGGGCTGGGGACCCCCTGCACCCACGCACATGAAGCCGTGTCAGAAGCCCCCATGTTGAGGGGCGGGGCCTGTTAGACGAAGTCCCACTCGCTCTCGGACGAGGCCCTGGGGCTCCACGGCCAGGTCTACACCTGCCGGGCCGCGGGAGCTCGGGGGTCCAGCCCCCTTCACGTGCTCTGCCAGGGCCTGTGGGATGGGGGGGAGGGGGCAGGGCCCAGGCAGTCCAGCTGCCGTGTCCCCCCTCCCCCAGCCAGGGCACATCGTGAGGACCCAGGTCAGGCCGGGGGGCGAGGGCAGGGCAGTGACAGGGAGGGGCCCCAGAGGCCCAGAGAGGCTGGCCAGGGGCTCCACCCGGCCTGCAGCCCCTGCGGAGGCTGGAGCAGGGCACCTCGGGCCAGTGACCTGTGTCGGGGTGTTCGCCGTTTAATAGGCCCACACAACAGACTCAGCTGACGCTCCCGGGGGGCCCACGGGCCCCCCAGCAGTCGAGACACCCCTCAAAGCAGGTGCCGTTCCTGGGGTGATGTGCCTGGCCAGCCGGCCGCCCTCCCAGCCCCATAGTGCCCACCGCATATCACCAGAGGTCCCTTTGCACACCCTGGACAGCAGCCTGCGGCCCGACGCCCCTCCCTGTCTGGAAGGGTGGGCCGCAGCTGGGGGAAGGCAGGCGGCAGACGCCCCAGGCCCTGACTCTCCTGGTTTCCTGGGGGTTTCTGGGGGTTTTCGGGGGCAGCTCCTCCGGCAGGGGCTCTGCCCGCAGCCCCGCCCTGGAACGGGCCTTCCACTCACGCGGCCTCGCAGCTTCCAGCGGGTGCGGGGGGCGGACTGGCGGTGGGTGTGTGTTGGCGGGAGGTGGACACCCCCGGAGGGCCAGCCTCTGGTCCCGGCAGGGCCCTTTCCAGCTGGCACCCTCTCTGCCCCAGAGCCTTCGTGCCTGGCTCCCGGCACTGGGGCGAGAGGTGGGTGAGAGCTGGAGTCAGCTGGCCCCTCACCCTGCAGCCCCCCGAGGAGGAGGCTCCCCCCGAGAGGTGGTCTGGGGATGCCAGGAGTGGGACCACGGCCACCCGGGCTGCGGGCGGGGTCCCCCAGGCCAGCCCCTCCCAGCAAGCTGATGGCCAGCAGCTGCTGGTCCCCTTGGACCCTCGTGGGGCAGGTGGGCTCATGCCTAGCGGAGCAGCCAGGGAGGGGTAACAGCTGGCGGGGGGCTAGGGTGGGGAGCAGGTGTGGGCACCCCGATGGTGGGCAGGCCCTCCACCTGTCACTGGTTAGGTCCCCACCAGGCTGCTGTGGGGGCTGCCTTGCAGGTGGCACCCACAGGCCAGGTGAGGCGGAGGCCAGCATCTGTGGATGGGGAGTCGGCCTGGAGGGGCCAACACTCGGGGTTCCCCACCTGATAGGCAGGGTTGCAGCCTGGAGCGGGGCGGGGAGCGGGAGGTTGGGGGGAGGGTAGAGCCCTCTGGGGCTACAGAGGGTTAAGGACAGGGGAGGTGCTTGTCACCTGGCAAGGTAGGGTCCCTAGCACGTCAGGGTGATGAAGGAAAGAGGTGTCCACCACGTGAGACGCAACTGGGGGCAGTGAGGTGGGTGTCTTGGGGCGGACGAGGCCCGAGAGACGACCTGGGGGACCCTGTTGCGCCCCGCCCCCGCCCCCACCCCCACTTCTGGAGCGCGGCACTGACCTAGCTGCCGGCCTTCGTCCCCGCTGACGAGAGCTGAGTCGCTGCCAGGCCCTCCTGGAGCGGAGCCTGGGGGTGGGCCGGGGGCGCCGACCGAGGGGCCAGCGGGCTGTGCAAGCGCCCCGTGGCCGTGCTTGTCTCGTGCAGGACCGACCAGCTGGGCATGTTCACGCACAAGGAGCTGGAGCAGCTGGGCCCCGTGCTGGACGGGTTCAGCCTCATGACCTACGACTACCCGACCGCGCAGCAGTGAGTGTGGGGGCCGGGCCCTGGCCGCTGCCGTCCCCCCCGAGGCCCGAGGTGGGCCCTGCCTTACGCAGCTTTCTCCTGGCGGGGGCCCGTGGGTGGTGGCAGCAGGCGGCCCCTGCGGGAGCGCCACACCTCCAGGGAGAGGCGACCACCAGCAGTGGGCCCACCCTGTCGCCAGGGAGACAGTGTCCCACTGCTGCCTGTCCCCATCCCCGGGCCTCGGCCCGAGCCGGGCTGCTCCCGGTGGGACAGGTGTGGTGGACGAGGGAGACCCCCTTCCTTACCCCGACCTGCACAGACCCCGCCCCCGGCCGGGGGCTCACGGCGGACAGTCCGAGGCCCCTGCCTGCCGCTGACGGCCCACCCCTCCGTCGCCCTGCAGGCCGGGCCCCAACGCACCGCTGTCCTGGGTGCGAGCCTGCGTCCAGGTCCTGGACCCCAAATCCAGGTGGCGGAGCAAGATCCTCCTGGGGCTCAACTTCTACGGCATGGACTACTCGGCCTCCAAGGATGCCCGCGAGCCTGTCGTCGGGACCAGGTGAGCCGGGGGGAACCCCGCCACGCAGGTGGGGAGCCTCCTGTGCCGTCCCCTCCCCGTAGGCCCTCGCGCCGGTGGGCCTGCGAGTCTCCCGGAGGCGGTGGACAGAGCGAGTGGGAAGCCCTGGCAGGTCTGACCGCTTGCTGGGTGCCAGTGGGCGGGGGGCCATGCCAGCACTGCGCCAGCTGGGGCTCCTGCGGCCTTTCCTCCAGTCGGCGGGTCAGTGACGATGTGAGCAGGCATGGGCCAGGCCTGGGCGGGACCCCGCACAGTCCTGGAGGCTCTTGTCCCGTGGACCCCGACTTCCTTCCATGCGAAGGATCGCCTCTCCGTTTCTCGCTGGGCGGCTGTGCCGGTGTGGGTCCTTTGCTCCTCCAACCCGCAGCCCAGGCAGCCCAGGCCTGCACTCCGACTGGGAATCGAACCGGCGACCTTTAGCTTTGCAGGGTGACGCCCAGCCCGCTGAGCCACGCGGGTCAGGGCTGTTGAGCTGTATTCTGCTTCTTGTCTGGAAGGTCCGTCTGCCGGGTGGGGAGTCCCGGGTTGCCAGCTCTCCCCCGTTCTTCCAGCCTGTTGCTCGGTCATCTTCCCGCCGCGGCGTCCGGCGGGACCCGTGCTGCGTAGCTCTGCCCCTGCCGTGGCGCGGCCCGCCGGGGCCTGCACGGGGGTCCCTCCTGCATCGGTTTGCGTTGAGCTTTTCGCGTCTGTGGGTCCGTGCACTGACAAAGTGTCGGGTTCAGAAAGGTCGTGCCAGTTTCTCCGAGTGTTTCCTCCCTGTCCCTGCCCTGCCGTCCTCCCCGCAGGCCCTGGAGCGCGTGCCGGTCGGGGTGGCGGGTCTGTCCCCAGCCCGCTGGCCCGCACGGCGCCTTCCCGAGCCTCCTTCTCTCCACGCGCTTTCTGGGCCTCGTCCCTGTCTTCACGTCCGTGGCCACTTCCTGCCACGTCACCCGCTCTTGACCCCCCAGGCCTTCTCCTGTCGGCACTGGCCCGGCGCTGGGGGCGGTCTTCCCGCACCTTCCGCATCTCCGGTCAACTCCGCGCTGTGTGGGACCTTCAGGTCCCGCCGGAGGCGGCCCCTTCCTGTGGTCCCGTCCCCTGCCCCCCGTGGGCCTGCGCTCTGGGTGGAGCACCTTTCTGCCCCGGCAGCGCCTGACCTGGGTGCCAGTGCCACTGGTTCCCGGGAGACCAGGTGAGCCGCCGCCCGTCCGCAGGCCCGGCCCTGCCGGCGAGCCGTGTGTCCAGAGACCGCTGCCGCTCTGCCGCCCCCGTCGGCAGGGGCCCTCCGTGGTCGGGGGCCGTGTCCGTCTGGCTGCTTCGTGCACTGCCCTCCCCTGCCGCAGCCTGAGCTGGAAGGCCCCTGTCCCCCAGCCCCCCAACCCCCCCCAGCCCTGCTCTGTCCCCACATCCCTGGCCTGCAGCGGGTGGACGTGGGGTCGCTGGCCTTGAAGGACCCCCATCTCGGCTGGGGCTGCTGCACAAACACCCCAGACAGACGAGGTCCCTGTCAGGGAGGCTGGAGTCCGAGACCGGGTGTCGCAGGGCTGGGCCCCCCGAGGCCTCTCTCCTGGGTGTGTAGGCAGACATCTCCTCCCGGCATCCCCCCACGATTCCTCTGTATGTGTCTGTGTCCTGACCTCTGACCCCACTTGTGGGGTCAGGAGAGCAAAGGCCCCGGGAGGCCCTCGGCCCAGGCTGTTCTGAGGCCTGGGGGCTGCAGGAGGGAGCTCTGATCGTGAAGGGGTGTGTGTGTGTGTGTGTGTGTGTGCATGTGCCCCCGTGTGCGTGCTGAGGGGTGTGCACTGTTCACGCGCACACACCGGCTGGCCCCCCTGCACGTGCCCCTCGCAGGCACCCGCCGCAGCGGGTCTGAGGGGAGCAGGGGGTGCAGACTGGGGCTGGGGGCGGGGCTGGCTGCGGGTCGGGGACCAGCCGCCCTGCCCCCACCCTGCCTCACCTTGGCAGGAGCAGACGCTGCAGCCGAGCAGGGCCTCCCTGGGGGCCGGAGTCCGTCAGTGCCGGCGCGGGCAGTGTGCTGACTTGGCAGGGCCATGGCTCCCGCCCTGCAAGGGCAGATGGGGGTCGGCGTCCACGTGGGTCCTGCAGGGGGCCCAGGGGACCTGGGCGGAGCGGCCGGCCGTGCCCCGATAGGCAGTCAGCGCTGGCTCAAGGCTTTTGGAGCGGCCGGGGCCACCTCTGTGCCCTGGACTTCAGGGGCTGTCCCCTGCCTGGCTGAGAGCCCCCGGAGCTGCCCTGGCCCCGCCCTTCCCTAGGCCGGGGGGGCCATGCCCACCCTGGCACTCGGGGCGGGGCTCCTCTCTGCGGCTCCGGAGAGCGGTCCTGCAGCCTGGGCCATCATGTGGCCGCCTCCCCAGGGGTCTGTGTGGAGTGGGTGCAGAGCTGTGGGGTCAGGAGGACGTCCCCTCCCTCCAGATGCACCTGGAGAGGGCGCTGCGGCCCCCACAGGACCCCCGCACAGCCAGGGCTGCACGCAGCCGGGGACGTCGCAGGTTGACCAGTCACTGCCCCGGGAAGGGCACGCAGGGCGGGGCGACAGGTGTGGCTGGGAGCCCCCGGGAGCCCCCACCACGTGTCAAGAGGCCCGTGAGCCTGAGCAGGAAGCCGGGCCTCCCTCCTCTCGCCTCCGTGTCTGGGTGGCCTCGTCCATCCATGGCGGCCACAGGGAGGTGTTCGGGCTGCCCTGAGCGAGACCTCCTGGGGGGCTGGGGTGCCCCCACCCACACCCCGGTCCCCCCAGGTACATCCAGACGCTGAAGGAGCACAGGCCCCGGATGGTGTGGGACAGCCAGGCCGCAGAGCACTTCTTCGAGTACAAGAAGTGAGTGTGCTGCCCGGGCCGGGCCGGGTGGGGCTGGGGGCGGGGGCGGGGGTGGCTCCTCCAACCAGACCTGAGACCTGGGTTGTGGGGGGCGGGCCTGGGGAGCCAGAGGCAGGAAGCCAGCGCTCCGCTGTCCTTTGCAGAAGCCGAGGCGGGAGGCACATCCTCTTCTACCCGACTCTGAAGGTGCGTGAGTCCCCACCGTGACCCTGCCCTCCGGGAGGCTGCGGGGCGGGCAGCGGGGTCAGTGCGTGGTCTGGCCTGCCGCCCCCCGGGGCCGAGGGCCTGGGCCCTGAGCGGTGCTGGGGCTGCGGGGCTGGGGGAGGGGAGAGGGGAGGCCGACGGTGCTCTCTGCCCACAGTCCGTGCAGGTGCGGCTGGAGCTGGCCAGGGAGCTGGGCGTCGGGCTGTCCATCTGGGAGCTGGGCCAGGGCCTGGACTACTTCTACGACCTGCTCTAGGCCCGGCCGCAGGGCGGCCGCGACTTCCAGGCGATGGGGGGCATGTGGCGTGCGAAATACAGACTCTTCCGTCTTCCCAACCGTGTCTGCCGCACTCCTTGGGTGGGACGGCCAGGCCCCGGGGCACCCCGAGGACACAGTCCCCGCCCCACGGGGCCTGGGGCCCGGCCTGGGTTTGGAGGCTCTGGAAGGACCCGGCTCTCCGGTGCCCGGACCCCTGGCAGCGGGGCTGCGCTTTGTCCTCCCGCCGCCCACACGGACCCTCTCACCTGCTCCCAAGCCCACCAGGCCCCGCAGCAAGGGGCAGGGCCAGACCTGCCTGAGGGGCTGGGCCCTGGGCCTTGCGGGCGGCAGCAGGGCCTGTGGGCGCCGTGAGCTTTGTGGTCACCGTGGACTGACAGCATGCCCTCCTGTTCCACCACCTGTGGGTGCAGCCACGCTCCCAGAAGGAACCAGGGGGAACCTCGTGAGGAGCCGAAGCACAGCCAGGCCCCTCAGCAAGAGGCTGCTCACCCCACCGCCCCCAAGCCCCTCAGCGGACCCGCTGGCCGCGGGGACAGACCCACCGCAGTGCTCGCCCAGGCAGTGCGCTCACTGGCCGGGTGCCATGCGAGAGCTCGCAGCCACACCCCACGTCTCTGGCTCCCCTGGGGCACTTGGGGTCCCGGGTCGGCAGCCCTGGGAGGGGCCGTGTCCCCCCCTTTTGCTGTGGGACATGGAAGGGGGTGGGTGTCTGTCCTTGGGGGTCAGGGCCTGGCCGTGCCCACCAGTCCCTCCACGGAGCCGCCCGCCCACTGGGGCTGCCCTGAGGGGGGACTGCCCCCTTGGCGTGGGCGGAGGGCCAGCCTCGGAGCCCCCCACCTCTGCTGGGCCCTGACAACTATCCCCCCACCCATGCAGAGGCCCCGGCGCTGCCCCCAGCTAGGCCTGCTCTTGGGTGAGGTGGAGCAGCCCGTGGGTCCCGGGAGACGGACCCCGTCTCCCAGGTCGGGGTGGGGCCGGCCCTGACGGGAGGACAGGTGGGGGCGAGGTGGGGCCCTCGTGAGAAGCCAGCGTGTGCTGCCTTGGGTGTGCCCACGTGCCCGTGTGTGCGCGGGCCAGCGGCTGGCCGGCTCGCCCTCTCAGCCCACACCTGTGGCCACGGGCGCCCCCAGCTTGGAAGACCTGGGCAGGGAGGGAGGGTGGCGGGGAGGGGGCAGCGCTGGGTCCATAGGTGCTTCCAAGTCCACAGGAGTTGGGGACCCGCTGTGTGATTGGGGTGCTGCTGCTGGTGGGTGTGGAGCCAGGTCGGTGACGAGACACTGGACGTGCGAGGGGGGCTCCCTGACGTGGGGTTTGGGAAACCAGGGCCCAGCGAAGGGGGCGGGGGGTCGAGGGAGGCGTCCTGGCACGCACTGGACGCCCAGGGGCAGCACGTGGGGGTGCTGCCGCCGGTGGGGTCGGTGCTGGGGGACAGGCCACCACCCCAGTGGGGCCCCCCTGGGACCTCGGTGCCCCGTTGGACCACGAGCTGAGGCCGGACACCGGACGGCACCTGGCATCCCTACGTGCAAGTCCCGGGGTGGGGGTGGGGGGGCCAGTGGGGGCTGGGCCCAGGGTGGTGGGCGCTGGCGGGGTGGACAGCCGGCCCTGCTGGACGTGAGGCCTCACTTGCAGCTGTCCGCTGCTGCTGCTGCTGTGTGGAGAGAGTTTCGGGCGCCAAGCGCGTCCCCAGACCTACCTGTGTGTTAGTTCAGGGTTAGATCCCAGGGGCCTCTCGGGGGATGGGGACTGGGCGGGGAGCCAGCCGGGGTCAGGAAAGGACAGAGATGCAGGCGGAGGGTGGGCCCGGGCAGGTCGGGGAGACTGCGGGCGGCCCCAGAGCGTCGGCGCCGTTTCCAGGGCTCGGGCAGCGGAGGCCGCGCGGCTGCCCTGGGCCCACGGCCCGCCTGCCTGGCCTGGGCAGCCGGTCTGAGCCGTGCATGTCCGGGAGCCCCCCCCAGGCACTAGTCCCGTTCTGGTGGCAGGCTGGGGGGGGGTCCATGGCCACAGGGGGTTGCCTGGGCGTGGTCCGCCCGTGGGGGGTCAGGGCAAGGACAGACAGAGGTGGGGACCGCTGCCCACGCACTTTATTAAGACACACTGGGGGGCTGCCCTGGCCCCCCCGTGGAATGTGGAAGGCAGGGCTCTGCCCCACCCAAGCACCAGGGGCCGCAGTGGGCCCCTCCCCCTGCCCCAACCCGTGTGCGGCCCCCACCCCGGCCCCGTGCTGGGCCCCGGGGAGACGCTGCTCTGGGAAACACACGGGTGTGGGGACTAAAAGGCGCCACGAGCCCCTCTGCCCCCAGCCCCCGAGTGTGGCCAGCGCTCAGCCGCCCCCTGCGGCAGGGTGCTCAGGGGCCTGGCGGGGGGTCCCAGGGACTCCGCCACCTGCTCTCCCCTCCCCCACACCCAGGCTGGCGCAGGGGCCTCAGCGGACCGGTCCTCTCGGGGTGGGCGGCGTCCTTTGGCAGTGAGGCGCGGAGGCGGGCCTATGCGTAGGTGTCCGCCTTCACCACCTGGCAGTACATGGTCATGGCGAAGGTCAGGCCCAAGATCTGCGGGGACACGAGGGGGGGGGGGCCGATGTGCTGTGGGGACCTGCCCACAGGTGCTGGGACCCCACCCACGGCTTCCGGGGAGGCCTGGCCCCCTCAGGGAGGAGGGCCCGTGAGCCTGCGGGCTGGGCCAGCCCCTGCAGGCACGGGCACCTCAGGGGGTTTTGGGGGCTGATTCACGGCCTGTCAGCTCCAGGCTGGGGCTTGGGCCACATGCACCATCCCAGCCGCCCGGGGACCCCCCGCAACCTGCCTTTTGTCCCTCACCCATCAGCGATTGCCACCTCTGCCCTGTCGGAACCCCAGGGACCGTCACTGCTCTGGGGACCGAGTTTAGGGACACGGCCTGGCCCCCAGCTCCCTGGACACCAACGCTGAGGACCTCCACAGGGCCAGGACGCCAGTGTGGGTGTGGGGGCCCCCAGCTGGGCCTGATGGTCAGGGCCTGGGCTGCCTACCCCCGCTGTACGCTGGGCGGCCCTGTGACCACCACCCGCCACCAGGGCTGGGGCCGCAGGGTCCTCAGCACAGAGGCGTCCAGGCCACACCTCTGTCCACCAGGCAAGGAGGCTCTCCTCTCAGGATGCAGGGAAGCCTGCCTGTCCCCCAGGTGCTGGTGGAGGTGTCCCTGAGCACCCCACAAACTCCCTCTGCCCGGGGAAGTGGGCTCCACAGGGGGCAGGGCATCGACCGATCTGCCCCCAGGGCTCGGGGGGCCCGGCCCTGCCCTCCGTACCTGCACCAGCGCCGTGCACAGCCCGAAGATGCCCACAGCCAGCAGGTTCTCCTGGAGCCACATCTTCACCGTCTCGTAACACGGCTGAGGGGAGAGCAGGCGTCAGGGGGCCGGCGTGGTCCACCGCGGGCCAGGAGGGGGGCCCTCCCCCCGCAGGCCCCGGGGCTGGACCCTCGGGCGGGCCGGGCTCACCGCCTTCCACCAGGTGCCGGGGGCGTGCAGCCCGCAGCTCTCGCTGAACTCCAGGCAGCAGGAGTCGGGCACGCGGGTGGCGTTGTAGACCTCGAACCAGTCCGTGTAGTTGGAGACGCCGCAGCAGCGGAACTGCGGGGGGCACGGGGCGGGGACAGGACCCTGCTGAGGGGGCGCACGCCACGCCCCCCACCCCGTGCCTCGCAGGCCTGGCCCCCCCCGGGGACCCCACCCAGCACCCCCCCGCCCCTCACATCAGTCTGGATGATGCTCCAGGCGTTGGTGAGCCCCACGTTGCCCGGGGTGCCGTACAGGTGCAGGCCCTTCTTCAGGTCCATCTGCGCGTGCCTGTCGATCTGCAGGTGCGGCGGGGTCAGCGGGGTCGGCGGGGTCAGCGGGGTCCGCGGGGCCAGCCAGGCCGCCCTCACCCAGGCCCCACGCTGCCCGCCCTCTGTCCCCCCACCTGCAGTCACAACTCCCAGAAGCCCCTAAAGCACCAGCCCCTTGCCCCCGCCGCCTGCCCGGGCCACCAGCCAGACACAGCAGCACGGGCTCGGCCCGTCGTGCAGACGCAGGGCCGGGTGCCGGGCAGAGAGCCGTCTGCACGCACCGCTCCCTGCTGCGCCCCGAGGGGCCGCAGAGCCCCGACACCCCCGGGCGAGGGGCGAGCCGGTGCCCTGGCCTCGGCCCCCACACCCTTCCTCCCCTGAAGGACCAGGGCTCCTGGGAAAGACGGACGGTCCTGCCGGGCAGGGACGACGGCCCAGGAGGGGCCTGCAGTGTGTCCCTGGAGAGTCGCGCCAGAAGGAAAAGGGCCCATTCCCTAAAAAGTGCACAGGGGACGTGCCGAGGAGACGGGAGCCGGCCCAGGGCCCGGGGCCAAGTGGGGCAAAGGAGCAGACACCACGGGTCTCAGGTCTGACCCGAGGACGAGCCGCCCGTGAGGCCACCCACGTGAACACATGATCGGACGAGGAGCGGGAGACGGCCACAGGGGCGGCCCACAGCGCCCCCTCCAGGCCGGCCCCGGGGGCTGTGCTGAAACCCCAACCCTGGGCCCCGGCCCCTCCACCTGATGAAGTGCCCGCTACCACCCACACAGGGTGTGGGGTTCCCGACAGCCAGCGTCCGCCTGCCCACCCTGCCCGGCTGAGGCCCCTCGCCCGCGGGTGGGGACAGAGAGAGCCCCACTCCCGAGGCCGCACCTTGTCGCTGTAGGCGAAGAAGAGGGTGGCGACAGTGGCCTCCAGCAGGAACACCAGCAGCAGCAGCACGAAGAACTGCAGGGGCGCAGGGCGGGGGGGCAGGTTACCCCGGGGCTCAGCAACCCCGGCCCCAGCCCCCCCCCCGAACCCTGCAGCCCCCTGCCTTCCAAGGGCCGCACCCCAACATGCGGCCATCAGCCCCGCCAGGTCCCCGCACCTGGAGACCAGGCTCCCTACCGCCCCCGACCTCCACGCTCCGCCCAGTCTGGCCGCAACCTCAGGGCACGGACCTCCGGCCGGAGTGCATGCCTGTGCCTGCCTGGGGCCCCGCAGGGGCAGGCAGGCGGAGCAACAGCCCAAGACTCCAGGGG